TCCAGCTCCGACGGCTCCGACTCCGACTCCGACCTCGAGCTCGCCGAGGTGCTGAGACCCTCGTCGCCTGTGTCAGCCAAGAGGAGGAGCGGCGAGGAGGGGGCGAGGGACTGGAGGAGCGGGCCGTCGAGGGAGCGGCAGCTTGCGGCGCTGAGGCACTGCATCGAGCTTCTGGAGCGAGCAGAGCGGCCGGTGGTGTACGGGGCGACGGGGGAGGCGATGCGGCTGTGAAGAGGGGGAGGGACTCGGAGGGAGGCGGGATGTAGAGAGGGTGTACAAAGGATGTAGAGATAGGAGGTATGTGCAAGATGTATGAATAAAAGACACGATCAATGGAGATCATGCGGCTGTAGTATTGATGTCAACTCATTGCCGTGCTCCTATCCCTTTCCCATCATCATCATCATTCTTCCTTGCGCTCGATGTCAGAAGTGGAAGAGGAGGAACTGCTGCTGCTCGCATGCCCTTCTCGACATCCCTCTGTTCTTTCCCCAGCTGGTTCTCGCCTTGCTCCTCCTTTATCTTGGATCAGACTTCGTCGTGGGAGCGGAGAGTTAGAGGTTGAGAAGAGGGAGAGAGAAGGGCTGTTGAAGAAGTTCGGGCTGGCAGGACGGCTATCACAGGGGAGGGTGTCAGGGTCTGCAGCATCAGCCGACCATGTCAAGGTGAGTGGAGCGAAACTGAAGCTGAACTTCAGTCTGAGCTCAGCCGGGTGCCGGCGTACCGGGACTGGGCTTGGGTTTAGGTTTACATTCCTCATCCTCCTCCTTCCGGCCTAGTGTGACATGTTCAAGATACAGGCCGCTCCTCTCCTCTCCTCTCCTCCCCTCTCCTCTCCGCTCCGCTCCGCTCCTCTCCTCCCTCCCCTCCCTTCTGCGCCTTCACTGTTATCCGCTACGCCCCATCAGCATCACATTCCCTCCCCCGTGATCGCCTTCCTCCGAGCCAGAAGCCCTTCAAGCTCCCTCCGCTCGCTCTCAGCCCCCACCAGTCTGCCCAAGCCAGAGTTACCGTACACTAGCAAGGGTGAGGAAAGCGAAGCAACAGGTGTGGAAAGATCAGATGGAGATCGAGGACGAGATGGGAGAAGGAGGGCCGAGAAGGGAAGAGATGGAGGAGGAGGAGGAGGAGGAGGAGCAGCAGCAGCAGCAGCAGCAGCAGCAGCAAGCAAGCAAGCAAGCAAGCAAGCAAGCAAGCAAGCAAGCAAGCAAGCAAGCAAGCAGTCGCTGTAGGAGCATGATGGGAACAATCAGCCTCGCACCTGCTCGTCGTTACAACTTCCACCTCCTGAGTAGCCTCGTCCTTCTGGTGAAGAGCATCCTTACGGACAGTACGGACGGTCTCCCACTTCTCCTTCCTCCTGATCTCCTCCTCCACCTCCATCCTCGTCAGCGCCGACGCTGAGAGAGGACGCAGCGTTGCTACCTCTCGGATCCTCTCGTCGAGCGCCTTGAGCGCCTGGGTAGCTGCCGCCACACTGTAGCCAGTCATGGAGGACAAGGAGCAGAGTCATGGCAGGGAGCAGGGGAGGGAGGGAGGGAGGGAGGGAGGGAGGGGGAAGAGGAAAGAAACGAGAAAAGGCGAGAGGATGCGAGAGGAGGAGAAAGAAGAGAGGAGGGCAGAGGAGAGAGGAGGAGGGAGGAGGGGGGAGGAGGTGGTGGAGGTGCTGTACCTGTCAAGAGAGCGCAGGACTACTTGAGAGCATTCTTCTCCAAAGCGAAGTGAATGCTGGTCATCAACGTCAAGGAAGGGAAGAGGAAGAGGAGAAGAACGAGGAGGAGGAGGAGGGGGAGGAGGAGGAATATCAGCAGCAGCAGCAGCAGGATCACAAGAGTCTCGACGGCATTTCTTCTCTCCGGGCTGACAGTAACGACCACCGCTGTCCTGCAATTTCCTCCTAGAGCTGCACAAGGAAGAAATCACACCCATGACACGTTTCACGTGATATCTTTGACATGATATCATGTACAAATTGTCATTGATATCTTTGACATGATATCTTGTACGCTACATTTCTTCATCACGTCGTCTACATCTTACACGTCGTCTAGATTTCAACTTGTACATCTCAACAGCTGAAAGACACGAAACCTATCAAGGTCGCCCCACCTGATGACAGCAACATGGTGAGACGGGAGTCCTGGAAAGGAACGTAGCTCGAATCTGTCGATTGCTCGTCCGAGTTCTGAATGAGACTTCTGATACACCTGAAAAAGTATAGACGATGAGACTGGTGAACCCCAAAGAACGAGTTTATCATCATCGTCTCGATTCTCATCTCTTGCAACATCATCAGTATCATCATCATCATCATCATCATCATCTCCATCATCTCCATCATCATCATCATCATCATCATCATCATCATCATCATCTCCATCATCATCATCATCATCATCTCAATCATCATCATCATCATCTCCATCATCATCTCCATCATCTCCATCATCATCATCTCCATCATCATCTCCATCATCTCCATCATCATCATCATCTCCATCATCATCATCTCCATCATCATCATCATCTCCATCATCATCATCTCCATCATCATCATCATCTCTCATCATCATCTTCTTCTTCTTCTTATTCCTCCTCCTC